AGTCCGTCGTAGCGTCAAGTGACGTCGAGTCTTGGAGGCCGTGAGCGCCATTTTGAGTGCTGGCAGGACCCAGACAGAGCGTTCATTACCGAATTAAAGCAGAGACGGCTAAACATCTATTCCTGTCTGTCCTGAACTAAATATCACTTTGAGCAGAGATGACCATAATTTGGACTCTCCTGTCTTTTAGGGTGTGAAATAACCGTGGTAGTTGTAGTACTGCAATAACTGGGGAGGTCTTACCATGTCGCTGCCCTTTATCTGAACCTCAGAGTTTGTCATTACAACGCTTTCTTCATTAAACTAGAAACTGCTCTGAATTCAGTACCGCTCCTCCTCTAACCTCCGATCCATTCCCAGCACTTTAGTTCGTATAACGCAATGCAAAAAATAAAGTTTTTTCCTACAGAGCACCGAAATTATAGAATAACGTCACGGACACAATCAAATCTTCGTCCAGTCTAAAATCATATAAGAGATCCCTCTCTACATATCTCAATACAAAATGATTATATTTCTTACCTGTTCTGTGTTGAACTTATATATATATATATATATATATATATAAATTTTATAAATATTTATATTTAAATATTTTTTTTTGTATTTTTAATAATATATTGTCCTTATTGCAAGCATAGGCAACCTTCGGCACTCCATATGTTTTGGACTACACCTCCCATGACGCTTTGCCAGCATTATGGGTGTAAGACAGGCTTCCCGAAACTCTGGCCATACAGATGTTGCTGAACTACAACTCCCATGATTCTATAAATTAAATAGATAGGCTGAGAATCGTGGGAGTTGTAGTTCAGCAACATCTGGAGGGCCGGAGTTTGGGGAAGCCTGGTGTAAGAGCATTATGAGGGATGTAGTCCAGAACATCTGGAGTGCCGAAGGTTGCCTATCCCTGCCCTATTATAACAATGGAATGTTTTGGGACCAGCGCATACTTGAACTCTCAATGTATTCTTCCTGGTAAAATATTTTATATAACTATATAATACTGGCTAGTGTCCTGCCTCTGGGGTACCTGATAGTTAATTCATGTGAAACACAGCATTAGGCGTGCTTGGTTAATACTAAATTACATTTTAGCATTCTGGCGAACAAGTGAGCTTCAAATTTGCTGTGTACATTGGCTACTATGAGGGTGTCTGAGCAGAAAAGCTACCTATCTCCACTAACCCCTTCACCCCAACCGAATCTCTCTCATGCCCTCCTCATAGCCCAGTGTTAATGGAAGCAAATGTTAGGTTTTATCATATTCGATCAGAAAAGCAGAACTGGAACGTTGCTCTTGCGAGTAGGGTTCTCTTTAACCTATTGTTTCTGTAACGTATTGTAATTGTCTCATTTATTGTTAACATGTTCCCACTTTTTAATATTGTAAAGTGCTGCGGAATAAATGCCATTAATAATAATAATATCTTGGCTTAAAATGCCCGTCTTATTTGTCTGTTTTACACAATTCCCAGTTTCATGAATAACACCATGCATTTCCTATTGAGCAAGATATTTGGCAAACCAAACCACCAAAAGCAAAAGTTACTTCCCTTTAAATTTTCCCTATGCGCACTAAAACTACCAAATACAACCTCAAACTGGATACACGCAATATTATACCTCCATTATGTAGAACCAGGATACAGTATAAAATCAAATATGTAAACGAGAAAGGTAAAAGACCACAGTGCTTTCTGTAAATAATAAAGGCAGTATTATACAATAGGAATGTCACTCACAAGGACAGATCCGTATCAGGCTCTATAATGAAGGCTCCCGGCTACAAGTGCTTCCTATCCAGGAACTATGATCCACAAAAGGGGGCTTGAAGACACAGGATAAGATGAACATACGCATAACTTTTATTACAAGTGCAAGTAAAAATAAAAGCAAGGGTAAATAATCGAACTAAGAACAAATACAAAGCAGTGAAAGCAATAGTAAAAAGACCAAAGGCAAGTGTCACCGTAATAAAATCTAATTGGTGTCCAGTCCCATACAGCAGACATGTTTCAACTCTTTACAGGGCCTTCATCAGTGCTGTACGAGCTTCGGAATGCTGCTTTTAAACAGCACTCCTACTGGAGTTTCAAAAGGAGTACCTGTGTCCTTATGTCATATCCCATTCGCAAAAGTGTGCCATGTCATATCTTGTTGCCCAAAATACTAATAGTTCGGTTCCATTCCAATTAAGTAATTTCTGCGTTCAGCAAGTCTTCGCTTCTGATGAACAAGTTGTGCTCACTAGTCTTCATTGCAACTGAGGGCAAACTACCCTGAAAACTCTTAATAGTCTCTATAATGCATAACCAAAATGCCATCATCCAGATACATATAACATATAGCACATGCGTTTCCAATATCAGTTACACGTGCTGCTAGTCATGTTTGCATCTCAAAAATGTAGTAACTTAACCCCTTAAGGACACATGACATGTGTGACATGTCATGATTCCCTTTTATTCCAGAAGTTTGGTCCTTAAGGGGCTAAAGAATAGCTGTTAGACATCATGAAACCATGGACCAATTTAGTAACGTTAGCAGTCTTGAGCTAAGCCCTGCCATGTAGGTGTAAGTTACAAATGCTGTTGATTGGGTACATGGGCAGTTCTATTCTATCCTGTAATATGTAGAATTTGGATGCTACCATAGACAGTTAATACTTTTATCCCAGCAGTCCTGCCAAGCATATGGAATATGTAGCTTATCGTAAAAGGCATCTACAAGTCACCAAAATAGTACGTTTACCCTCAGTTATTATTCAGGGCTAAATAGTGGAGGACAAAGAAAGGAGAGAGAGAGAGTGTGAGCTACACTGGCAGAAGAGAATTGTAGCGAATTTACACATAATACATCTCTTAACATTCCACACATACTACATGCAAACATATTTACACATGTACGCCTTCAGTTTTCAACACAATGCTTATTTGTATTTTATTATCATACAGTGGGAGGTTGTGACTGAAACCTAATTGTGTTTTGGAGCTACTAAACAAAATGGAGTTGGGAATCGTGTGAGTGAGAGGTATGATGTGGAGGAGTCAAGATGGTTGACAGAGCAATGGAGACAAATGAAATGGACAGTGGGTGAAGGGTGGAAAAATATGCATTTACAGGGAATTATTATTAGATTTGTGAGAGGGAGCCAAGAGGGTAGTTGGATGTGGGACACTTACTGAGACAAGTAAATTTTAGACAGAAAGTTGTGACAGTGTCAAGGTGGAGCGAAATTGTGGAACACTCACACCAGGGCTTAAAGGGCAAATGTCACCTGAAAAATATTTATTAATATAATAATCCTTTCATCAAGTATTGAAAGGAAATATATATTTTTTTTTAAATAAAGTGTATGGAAAAACAAATGAAAAAAAAAATCTCTTTAGTATTTGACAAGATCCTTGTGCCATATACATGCAATTTTAGTTAAACAGTGTTTGAAAATGAACATTTAGTCTCTATGGTCTTACTTGCTTCTGTGTAGGGAGTGAAGCAAGGAAGACCAACACTGTCTGACCAAAGGTCATGTATGTGGTATGTATGTGGCTGAAGGACCCTGTCACATACTAAAACTATAAAACTATGCTTGAGGAAAGGATTATTATATTGACAATATTTTATTGTTTTATTGAGGTGACAGTTGCCCTTTAAGGCACAGAGTGTGGACAGTTCTAGATACGCTAAGCCCATGTATTTCGCGGGGAGGACAGAATGAAGTTGGCAATGTTCACTTGTGAAAATAAGCACCAAGTAAGATATATTCTGGATAATTAAGTCATTTTGTTTGGTAGTGGCAGGGTCAGGAGGCCTTAATAGCTGTGGTTTGATTAGATTAGGCTTCTGCTATTAGAGAAACATTGTAACTGTATAGCACATTGATGAAAATCCTCAAGTCCCTCTCACCTGTAAGCTGTCCATAAATCTAACCCTAAGTGTCCCCTAAATTTAAGTCCTTATAACTCTATGCATGCCATTGATCCCGCAATTCTAAATATCTACTCTAGCTATAGACACTCAAAAGCTTATAGCAACATTTGAATATGTCATTATAGTGACATACCATTTATCAGAAACTTACAACTTTTCATTGGAAAAGTTACTGTTCTGCATGTTGGACTTTGAAGTCCTTCTTGGGTATAGAAACTCAAGAAATCATGTTTACACAACTATCCCAGAGTTCCCAGCATGATACGCAAATGAGCACAGACAGACATTGTGTTTCAGACTTCATAATACATTTTTGAAGATACCCTTAGCACTGGACACTGTTTTACACACAGCATTTTTTTAAACTAAAGCATGGGCTATGATCCCAAAGGATCAGTTACCAAAAAACAAGATTGTAAAAGACAATGGTTGGGCACTCACTTGTTCATATACAGTAAATGGGAAGCATTGTTCAGATCACCAAGTGAATGTAATTGTCACTGCATCAATACTCTATACTCTATACTCTATATTGCTGACATTCATTCTAGTTTCCCAAATGCACTTTCCCCATTTATGTATACTACATTGCCTATTTTGTTATGGTATCCATTTATTCATGATATCATAGAACAATTAAGTTAAAACAGAAAGGGGCGGGGGGCGGACCGCCAAGCTGAACGGTCGCAAGCGAGTTCAGCTCCTGCAAATCACCCGCAATTAAACGCATAAGACATGGAAAACGACTTAAATGCAGACCGTCAGCGAGAGTTTTCAGGGCCGCAAGGGCACCAGAGCCAGGAGAGGCTGGCTCCTCGAGCTTCAGTCCCCAGGAGGTGAAGCCCCGACGATCAAGTTGGGGCCTAAGCCAGCGGTGAGAGGGGTGGACGGCCGCTGCCCCACTATCCTGCCTGATGGTGCACAGAAAAAGGCTGAGACCCGGGCGGACCTGGCCCTGTTCCCCCCCATGGACCGGCGGGGGTGATCCTGATCCTCACCCAGAGGCTATACAACGAGAGCCCAAAGCCACCACCGCCCCGCTCGAGAGCCCGAGCGTGACATCCAAGATGGCGGATGCCATGTGCGCCGGAATCGGCAGGGGGGACTGCTCTCCCGCTGAGACTAGAGGAACCAACTGGGTCTTCAGACACATCTTACCTGGCACCGCAGCCTTACAAGCGGTTACTAACCCGACTACTCCACAAGCCATGTCACAAGCGAGCAGCGACGGAGACCTAGTCGAATTCAAGCTGGCTGCTGAGCCGGAAGACCGCCACACCACACTATGTCTACCCCTGCCAGTGACTACCGACCCCGCAGCAGAGAAAGGTACTCCCACAGTGGGATCGACCACATACCCACCCCACGCACACCCTGTAGTACAGAGACCCCGAAGAGGGTCTAACACAGCCACCCAGCAGCCGGCCACATCACGCAGCGCCCAAACACCCATCCTGACAGACACTCACCTCCAGATGCCCAGACGAGGTACTCTTGGCCGGATGGGAAAGCAGCCCAAAAGACACCAACGAAGAGCACAGAGACACATCCAGAGGGGCACTGCTTGAACCCCTGCCTCAGCGGACACTCATACCCGGTAACATCGACATGGCAGATCGGGCATTGGTTAAGCACAAGCCCGCTACTACCCGCAAAACCTCAGGCCCACCAACAATGGCTCCTAGAACACAAGCCAGCTCACAAACTCTAGAATGGCCAGGGTGATATAACACTCATAGAATACAGCTTAGCACCAGTCTGTTTACATACTGAGCTTCTTGATAAAGCATATCGTTTAACATTTTTTTAATGCGCTATATAGGCATACATTCAAACAACTAGCTTGCCTCACACAATATAATGTTACCTATTCTAGCTTAACAACCTGTCAATCTAATTACTGTACTGCTAAGGCCTATATGTCACACTACATACAAGCCACACACTTATAATGTTAAGCGCAACTCGTTTTATTAAATGCATATTTAGCCTAGCATGTTATACCAGAAAAACGATGTTTAATAGCCTGTTAAACTGTCACACTGTGAAATGTTTTGGAAATGCTTGTTGTAACCCCATGCACAAGAAAAATAAAGAATTTAAAAAAAAACAAAACAAAAAAACAGAAAGGGGCATTGCTATGGCAAAGCATACTGAAATGTGAAATGAAATGTCATCTTAGCGTTATGAACATTGGATGTGTGTGAACCAAATGCCACCTATATTATCCGCACAAAGCATGTGTAAGTATTGCACAGTGCACAATTAGTGACCCTAGGCCATAGGGAAATGTAATAAAATGAAGGCAAGCTGTGAAGTACCTACTTTTCATTAAAATACAAAAAAAGCAGCTTATTTAGTCCGTGGTGAGCATCCCCATTGGTTATCCACAATCTCGCATAAGTGTAGCCACAAAACGCCAACCATACACAATCTCTTCCGGGTTTTCCCATATTCTGATCATGTGGGGCTCTCTGGTCCACGTCCTAGTTATGTCTACAGTGAGGCGTTTTGCTCACTTTCCCCGGGCTTCATCTGTTAAGTCCGGGTGCACCACTATTTGTTTTGGGTTTTTAGCTTGCCTTAAAGGGTTACACCGAGCAATATTACCATTTCAGTAAAAGGTAGAGGTCATGGTTATTGGAGTCTGCATGTGCAGCTTTTTAATATGAAATTCTGCACATAGTGAGATATTTTATATTTATATCAGAGGTGTAACCACCTCCGGCAGCTTCATTAGTAAATTAGTTGTTCTCCAAATATGAGTTATCAGATAGTTCACCTAGCAATAATTTCATTATTTTATGTATTACTAATATTCTGCATTACAATATTCTGAATATTAAATCTTCATCGTGTTGCAAATATTATCACAACCAGCAAAAATTAGTTTTACGTTTAAAAATCATGATTCAAATTAACTAGTCTTACTGACTAGTGATTTATATCATGATTAAAATCGTGATGTGGTTGAAATTAACTCGATTTAAATCAAATCCACCCTGATTTTCATAAATCTGCAATGAAAAGCTATAACATTGATTATTTGACGTGTCTTACCATGTAAGAAATTTAACGTAATTTCCCATGTCTGAGAATATTATGTTCCTATTCTAATTCTATTCTAGTTTTTGTACTTTTCTAATCCCAGTGTTTCTGATATGATCTGTACTTCAGTATTTAAACACTGATTCCAGCACGAAGTAAGAGTAATACTATCCCCAACAGGCATCCACATAAAAATAGATAAAACATAACAGGTGGCTGGTTTTACAGTAGTGTTCTCATACAATTAATCAAAGCGATCATAACTTGCAAACAGAAGGGTAACATCATATTTCATTTACTTTACCCAGAAATCTAATTGAATGCAGATTGTATCCATTAAAAATAGAATGCCATACTTGCGTCATATACTTAAAGATAAAATGTGGATTATTACATATAGTTGTTCCTGCAAATTATCAGTCGGGGGTATGCCTAGGGAATGATATTTTAAGTATTCTGGATTACAGACCAAAAAACACGGGCTCACACACATCTAATTAACATCTCACCTACCCATTGCCTTCAATGTTTGACAAGACTGTACCAAAAAGTCTGTGCTGCCATTTGGTTCCTGTGCTGCCTGTGTCCAAGGATGAAATGCTACCCCCACCAAACTCGCCCCACTGATCAAACCTCCCCCCCACTAAACCATGCCACCAAAACATAGTGGATGCAGAGTATGTGTGTTTAATAGATGCATAGAGTGTGTAGTGAATACAGTGTTTGTGGACGCAGTGTGTGTGTGCCGGTGATGTATTGTGTTAAGGGGATGTATTGTCTGTGTGAGTGATTTTGGATGCAGGGTGTGTGCAGGAGATGTAGTTTGTATGTGGGTGTGTGTGTGTGTGCTTGGCATGGAGTGTGTTGTGTGTTTGTACTTGAGTGCAGTGTGTCTGTGTGTATTGGAGATGCAGTGTGTGCAGGGGAGGGCTGGCAGCTTTAGGCCTGGGGTGCAAATCCAGTCAAGTGGCCCATTGCACCAAGAGGAGAGTAAAAACACCTTTCCCATGTGATTGGAAGGGGGTCAGTCACCTAAACAGACACACTCACTGACAGGCATACACACTTGCTGATTTGACACACACTCACTGACAGGCACACACACACACACACACACACACACTGTTACAGACATAATGACTCACACAGACATACTGACGCACACACACACACTCACAGGCATACTGGCTGCCACACACACACACACACACACAGACATACATACTGACACACACACAGACAGACATACTGACACACACACACAGACATACTGACACACATCGACATACTGAGACACACAAAGAAACATACTGGCACACACACACACAAACTTTACACTTTTAAAGCCAGTAGACGGGGATGAGTAAGGGGCAGGGCTGTAGTATGGGGCTAGGGGCGGTAGTGGGCGGTATTAGCTGCAATTGGGGGGTTAGGAAATGTAGTGGTGGGATAGGGGCTGAAGTAGGTTGATGGCTACAATTTGGGAAAGGGGCTGTGGTGTGGGTGATATGGGTTGCAATTGGGGGAGAGGAGCTATAGTGGGGATGTTATGGGAGCTGTGGTGGGTGGGGGCATGGGGCTGAGGAAGGGGGACAGAAGCTGAGAGGGGGGACAGGAGCTGAGAGTGGCGGACAGGAGGTGAGGGGGGTGGGGACAGGAGCTGAGGGGGGGGACAGGAACTGAGTGGGGGGGACAAGAGCTGAGGAAGGGGACAGGGGCTGAGGAAGGGGATAAAAAACAAACAAAAAAAAACTAAAGTGTGTTCCCCCCTCCCTGAGTCTTACCAGGGAGGGGAGGGCAGGAGTGGAGTCGGCCGGCCTCTCCTGATGATGTCAAGAGGAGGGGACGTGACTTCCTCTGCTCTTCTCCCAGACTCCCCAGCGGTCCTGGGAGTAGAGCAGTGAAAATCACGCCTCCTCCTCCTCATCAGGAGAGGCCGGCCGACTCCACTGGCTGCAGGCTACAGAGAGAGGTAAGTGGAAAAATCTGAGTCCCCAGCCAGAGGCAGGGGATTCAGATTTTTCCTTTTTTTGCTGGATGGAGACGGCCCTGGATTTAGGGCGGCCTGGGGGGCAATTGCCCCCTGTCCCAGCCCACCCCTGAGTGTGTGTCTGTGTGTGTGCTGGGGATGCAGTGTGTCTGTGTGTATGCAGGAGATGCTGTGGGCCTGTGTGTGTGTTTGTGTGCTGGAGATGCAGTGTGCATGGGTATTTTCAGGGAAGGCAGTGTGTGGCGGAGCTCCCTGTACCCCAGCTGGGTACCTCAGCAAGGGACCGCTTACTAGCTGGGGCCGGATAGGTGACTAGCTCTATCCACTCCCAGGGAATGGGCAACACACAGCCCTGGGAGCTCTTAGTCCTTACAACTACTTTCCCTGCTGCCTCCTCTGCGAGCTGGAGCAAGCTGGTACAGTGATTAGCCTGTTTCTCCCCACCCCCCCTCCCTCCCACCCCGTAACTGGACGACACACAGCTCTGGGAGTCTAACTGAAATACAGCCAATTTATACACAGTCCCCGACAGGGGGTCTCCATTCTATTCAGCACAAGTCCCTCAGTCTCAGGCTAGAGGGGGATGGTTTACAGATAGCCATCTCCCGCTCTGGGAGATACTAACAGTGCAACAATTACATACAGTCAGACACATCACATACATTGGGGAAAGGCTAGGGGGTGCCGCACATGGGGAAATGGGGCACATAAAACATACATCCCTGGATAGCCCCGGGTCCCAGCTAGGACCCCTGCAAATAGCGGGGCTATCGGATGTACAGAGCCCGAGAAATCATCGCATAAAGTCTGGGCTTGAGGCTCTGTACATCTCCGCGATTAGTTCCATGGAATTGCTTGGTTTAGGCCAGTAAATTCAAACTTCGCACCTAATCCACGCGGCAGCCAATCAGGTCTGCAGTGATTATAGCTCCATTAGGAGCAGGTAGGGCAATCCTCAGAATGAGGACCAGAAAACGGTAGCAGGCAAGCAAGTGGGTACCTGTGTTCAGTGTGTCTGTGTGTGTCATGAAGATGCAGTGTGTGTCTGTGTGTGTATCCAGGGGATGCAGTGTGTGTCTGTGTGAGTTCAGAGTAAGCAGTGTGTCTGTGTGTGCGTGTAGGTGATGCAGTATGTGTCTTTGTGTGTGCTGGGGATGCAGTATGTCTGTGTTTGTGCTATGGATGCAGTTTGTGTGTGCTGGGATGTAGTGTGTGTCTTTGTGTGTGCTGGGGATGCAGTATGTCTGTGTTTGTGCTATGGATGCAGTTTGTGTGTGCTGGGATGCAGTGTGTGTGTGCTGTGGATCACATGTATGTGTGTGCGCTGGGGTGCATGTGTCTGTATTTGTGCTATGGATTCAGTTTGTGTGTGCTGGGGTGCAGTTTGTGTGTGTTGGGGATATAGTGTGTCTGTATTTGTGCTATGGATTCAGTTTGTGTGTTCTGGGTGCAGTTTGTTTGTGCTGGGGATGTAGTATGTGTTTGCGTGTGTGCTGGGAATGCAGCATTTCTGTGTGTGTGCATGCTGGG